AGCAGTATTCGCCGGCCGGTTAAAAAAGTACTTTGAGCAACATGGCCGGATTCAAGTCAAGCAGTGGTACCACTTTGTTGACAGTCAAACGGTCCTTGGTGCAATTCAACGTGAGAGCTATGGCTTTCAGACTTTCTTTGCCAACAGGATTGGAGAAATCCAAGGCAGCACGCAACGTCAGGATTGGTGGTGGATCCCTGGAACGCTCAACATTGCTGATATTATCACTCGTGGGGCTGGTCCAAAAGATTTGGATGAAGGTTCACCATGGCAGCAAGGACCAGAGTTCCTGAGTTTACCAGCAAATGAGTGGCCAATTAAGTCTGCAAAGGACGTATCCGCAACTGCCAGAGAGAGTGTTGGAAAGATGCAAAAGAAAACATTTACTGCCGTACTCGCAAGAGCTCAGGTGAAGAAAGGGCCACCAGACCTGGAGTGTCGGAGACCACCTGCTGGTGCTGCTGTCCGAAACCTGGTGGATGAAGGACGGTTCAGCAACCTGACTCACCTGGTTAAAGCGGTTGCCCAGGTCTGGAGAGCAGCTAAGTGCTTTGCAGCTCAAAGCAGGATCTTGGGGACTCCAAAGTGGGAGGCAGTTTCATCAGCCGGGGTCATCACTGCAACAGAGCGCCAAGACGCCTTAAGAGACCTTTTTCTTGCTGCACAAGAGGGCGTGACCTTTCCAACAACCACAACGGACCGGTTGGTAGTCTTCAAAGAAGAAGGAACGGGGCTACTAGTTTGTGGTGGGAGGGTCCAGGCTTTTAATGAAGACCGAGTTAGTGTTCCCCTCTTACCTTACAGTGCCTGGGTTTCAACATTGTTGGTTCGTGAAGCTCACAGCAGGGGTCACGAGGGAACAGCTGCTACTCTACTGAAAGTGAGAAAGAGAGCATGGGTCATCAAGGGACGGAGAATTGCTCAAAAAATCATTGAAAACTGTGTGATTTGCAAGAAAGCCAGAGCTAGAAGATGTCGCCAAGTGATGGGTGATCTGCCTCAAGAGAGAACCAGGCCAGCGGCTCCATTTGAATTCACGGCAGTTGACCTGTTTGGACCGTATCTGGTCAAGGATGATGTGAAGAAGAGAGTCCGGATGAAGGTTTGGGGCGTCGTATTCTGCTGTATGGCCAGTAGAGCAATCCACACAGAGCTGGCCAACACCATGTCGACTGAAAGCTTTCTGATGGCTTATCAGAGGTTCACAGCAATTCGAGGACATCCTAAGAAGATTTGGTCCGACCCAGGGACCAATTTTGTTGGTGCCAAACCTGTTCTGGAGGAGTTGTATCAGTTTCTGGATGGTTTGGATAGGCCTGCTGTGGAGGAAACTTCAGCTCAAAATGGAACCAGCTGGCATTGGGAAATCCAGCCGGCTGATTCACCTCATCGAAATGGCTCTGCTGAAGCAGCTGTTCGAATTGTGAAGAAGGCGTTCCAGAGTCTGGGGAGAGAATCAGAGCTCAGTTACAGCGAACTTCAGACGACACTTCAGCTCGCTGCTAATCTGTCGAATGAGCGCCCCATTGATGCCAGGGTGCAGAGCTGTGAAGACACCGTGCAGTACATCACACCCAATGCACTCCTGTTGGGGCGGGCATCATCGAGTGGTGACTGGAAAACATTTGTGTTTACGAGCTACCCCTATAAGAGGCTTCAGGAAATGCAGCACCAGGTCAACAAATTCTGGAGGTCCTGGAGCCAACTTGCCGGCCCTAATCTCTTCGTGAGGAGTAAATGGCACACTACACAGAGGAATGTTGCAGACGGAGATATTGTTTGGCTGCGCGACCAAAATGCATTGAGGGGTAACTTTAAGCTTGGGAGGGTTATAAGTGTCAACCCAGACTCCAGAGGCATAGTACGGGATGTGAAAGTCAGAGTTGTGACAAGCTCCTGTATCCCTCAGGTGAGACCTGCAACATCAGCATCCAGGCATCTTGCCTCCAGCATCTGGAGGGACGTTCAGTCCACAATTCTTCATCGGGACGTTCGACGATTGGTGGTTCTGCTGCCAGTGGAGGAGCAGGCAGGAGGCCAAAAAGGGGATCTCTGACCCCAAGGTCACTGTGCGATCTTTCCAGCGGTTCTCGTGGGAAGATCGAGTGGGAGGTGTTGAGTTGAGTTGCAGACCGAGCCCCTCTCTGGCTGGGAGGTAGGTTTAGGTGAGTCTCTCAGGCTGGAGGCGGAGATTTTAATGCACCAGGTGGAGAGGATCTGGTGATCAGGGGGGTTGGAGTCACTCACTCACAGGACAGTGAAGAGCGAGCAGTGTGAGAAAGCGAGATTGAAGAGCTTGGGAAGAGGAGACTGCAGGAATAAAGCTTGCAAAGGCTGAAGAAGGAGCCGGTGAGCTTTTGAGTGGCTGACTACTTATGGCATGAAATGCAAAATCAAATGTCCATATATTTAATGTGTTTTAAAAAGTATTTAAGCTAAAAGTAATTGGATAAAACTTGATTTGTGTGTATTCAGCGGAGTTAAAATCTGGTGAAGTTTAAAGGTTAAAATCATCATTAAATAGTGTTTTAAAAATGTATTTAATTTAGTATTGGGATACTTTAAATTTGGGTTGTCTTTCTACTTATTTTGGGGTTAATTTCCAGTAGATTATAAATTAAGTATGTGATGTTGGGTATGTGAATTGATTATGGTTTCTTGGGTTATATTTCTTTGACCTTATATTCATGTTTGTATTTCAAGGTTTTTCACCTGGTTTGACCTGGACAATCTTAAAAATAAAAAGCAAGAAAGCAAAGAAGTCCGAATCTTGGTCATTGAGTGGAATCCAGTCTACACTTCTTAGCAAGCTGCCCTTTCAAGTGGGGGGCTGCAGTTTGACTCTCACAAAAGTGAGACACTTGACAGTGCGTTTCCTGAGGGCGTTACATCCATGAACCTTAAACAGGCCGGTGGCTGCTGCTGCTGCTGCTGCTGCTGCATTGACCGGAGCAGCCGCCCGCTGTGCAAGCTTCAGGGCCGACAGGAGAAACGTCCCCAACGCTCCGGGCCTGGAAGTGCCTCGGTGAATTCCCCTGCAATGTTGCCCGAGGTTGGAAATCGCACACAGGCATCCGCACACGTCCGCACACCCTGAGCGGCGAGAGGCCCAGATCCACTGTGACTACTTCCCCTTCCCCCCTTTCCCCTCATCCCCCGAGGAAAAACAAAACGCACGGCCATGTTCATTTGTTTTTCTATTTTTCTCATCGCTCTCCCACATTTCTCTTCGTTTCTAAAGAGTTGCAGCCTCCGGCTCCCACGCTGTCCCTCCCTCTCCTCCTCTCCCTCTCCCTCCTCTCCCTCTCCCTGGTGGGGATGGAGGCTGATGGGAGCTGACGTGATGGCGCCATTGTCTTCGCCGTCGAGTTAATGTGACCCCGGGGGGCGCCGTGCCTGTATGCTTGGCCCGATGTTGCAGAGCGTAAAGCGCGGGGTTGTGGAGGAAGGGAGGGAGGGAGGGTGGGAGAGGGGTGAGAAAGAAACAAGGAGGAAACAGCTGTGCGTGGAGGTAGACTGAGAAATGCAGAATAGTGGGACAGGAGCAAACTGCACACAGGCATCGATGGGGCCTGGGAAGGACCTTATGAATGATCGGGTATTGGTAGATGAGTTATGATGACCTTAAATGTGTGTGATGTGTAGATTGCACTGAGAAATGTGAAAGTAGTCTCAAATAAACACTAACTTGGATTTAGGCATCATACTTAAATACTTGTGTAATTACCATTTACTTTGCTCTAACTTTTTCACTTTAAATCCTTAGGCTCCATTCATGCTTATTAAAGTAAAGATAAAGATTTGGTCTTCATATCGGAAACCGACAAAAGCAAGATGAACTCACAATTTTGCCAAAAATAATAAAACTGGAGATATGAAACTTCTCAACCAAACGCGTCTCAAGATTGTGCCAAAACGCAAATTATCCCAGTATTCATAATAAGGTTACTTTGACTTTTTTCTGATACATTTCAGCTCTAATTAGCTTTCTAATGTTTGGTTCCCTGTTGCTACGTGCAGGCGCAAACAATTCGACCGTTTGGAAAACATGCTCATTGGCATTCATGCATTTAGAGTCAGACGAGAAGATTGACACCACTTTCAGGTGTGAGGACTTAAAAGGTCAGAGTCCGTGACGTGACGCCGTCCCCGAGACTTGCGTCGGGAAAGAGACGTCCGTAACTTAATTAACTGTCGGCAGTTGGCACTACCAACCCTTAAATCAAGGTTCAAACGCTGTTTAAATAAGTTATTATCTTCTTTCGTTTCTGTGAATGAGCCTAAGAACGACTCTGGGCCCAACGGAGTAGTGCAGAAGCAATGCGATGGCCCTGAGGATGGGAAGGGTTATTTTATTCAAACTACTCCTTCTGCCGTGCTGATGACCCAGCGTACACAATTTCACCTGGGTTCACCAAGAGAACACAAAGGCTTTCTGAAAGGGATCCGGCATGTGAGACCTATTCAGAGACCGAATTGAGCCCGCCTGCTCTGAGATCAGGTGCATGAGACTTGTTCTGGTTTCCCATGCTGGTCCTGTGAGGCCTGCAACCGTGTTAAAGCCAGAAAAACCTTTGCGGCTGTGTGACAAACGGGAGCCTGAGAGTGACAGGCGTCCTTTCAGCCCTGTCTGTATATACTTTATATGATCAATGTAAAATACCCTTTACAGGAGTAAAGCTGGAGTACAACAGTGACCTTTACCTAAAAGACTGGTGGGTTTTGCTACGCTGATTTTCTCCTGAATCTTATCGAAAAAACAGTCCTTTTCATCTTCATCTAAATCTGAACGTGTTTAATATTCCAACTGTCCCAAACCCTGGCATTTAGCTAACACCAAAGCTCCTGGTTAGTATGTTGTTAGTATGTAACCGTGTGCAGCGGGCCGCTCCCCCACGCCTGGCGCTCAGACGGTCACCTCAGTCGAGCTGTGGGTGGAGTAGCTCTTCTGCCTGTTGTGGTGGTAGTAGGAAGGTTGGGATGGCTGCCCCCCCTGCACGTGCTGCCCTCCCAGTATGTGCTGCCCCCCCTGTATGTGCTGCCCCTGGACGTGCTGCTGCCCCAGTATGGGCTGCTGCCCCGGCCCCGCGCCCCCTCCACCTGCTCCATACATCCCTCCGTAGGGCTGGCCAAAGAGGTCCTGCATGTTCTCTATACTCCGCTGCCTCCGGGTGGAGTAGCCGTGCCTCCGGCCGGAGCTTTGCGCGGTGGAGGTGGCGTGTGCCGGGGCGGAGGCCTGTCTCTGGACGTGGCGCCCGGTCGACTCCCAGGCTTTGAAGGCCGAGCCGGAGAGCAGCGGGTGAGTGGTGGTTTTGGGCAGGCGCGACTGCTCCGGGTGGTCGGAGGGGATGGAGATGGAGAGGGGGGCGTGGAGGTCGTGGTGCGCCGACACGGGCTGGTGGATGTAGGATTTCTCTTTGTGCTGCACGGGCACGGGCTGGAAGCTGGGAGGGGCCACAGGCTGGTCCTGGGAGAAGTCCATGAGCGGGAAGCTCTTGTAGTAGGTACGAGACGCGCTGTGCGCTGCAACGGAGGAGAGGAGGCGAGAAAAAGTGTCATTCATCAGTCAGCCGAACTAAACATTAGACTCATTTGCGTGTGAATTATTAAACTGTCACTGACGTGTTGGAAACAACAGTTTACAGAACTCTGGTAGAAACCAAAGATAGAAAGTATCGAGCGCTCCGATTAAAAGGCTGAGTCCTCGGTGGGATTTTATTTGTGTATCTTGGGCGGTTGCCCCCCCACCAAACATCCCCCCAAAGTAATCTTCTTACCATGCTCTGTTCTTAACATTTAACAATTAGGCCATTTCAGCAAACACATGCTATATTTGTTTAATGTGTTTATATTTAAGAGTCACTTTCGATTTGTCTCAGACGGATGCGGTTCTGAGTCACGTGCAGAAGTAGACTTCAGTGAACTTTCAGTGTGTAAACACAGAGCGTGTCATTGCAGAATCCCACAAGTAATCCATGATGCATTTTTATTTAGGCCTCCAGGCTCCGACCCGTCAGCTCTTAAAGGGACACCATAGAACTTCTCACATATCAAACCTGCTCTCACCTTAATGCATTCATGGGTTTTGCCCCTTTAAGCCTCACTTGCTCTGTTATGACCAGTAGCTTGTGGTGGCTAATGTTAGCTTATGCACAATATGATCGTTTATCAAGTAATAATTAAAAAGTGTAAAGGCAGTGGGTCCAGCAGGAAGGGGCAGCGAGAGTTTTCAGAACCACAGACGAGAGGGAACATTTTCTTCCTGCACTTTTGGCGTCCAGAAAAGGTGAAATTTATCAAAGTACTTTGAATGAGTTGGAAGATCCAACTCAGAGAGAATCAGAGGACAGCGAGGAAGAGAGGGGCGGTTTGAACAATTTAAGAACGTCCGATTGGTCTTTGACCTTGGGGGGGTGGGGGGGAGTAGCGGTGTTCCTTTCTTGCTGCCGAGGGCCGGGAGAGCGACCAGGGGGGAGAAACTGAGGAGTGCACCGGGGAAGATGGAGGTAAAGGTATGCAGGGACATTGCAATGAAGGTTTATTAATAACCTCGCCGCAAGTCCAGACTGGGCACGCGTGTATGCAAGTGTGTGTCATGGGCTGGCATAGATGTCAGAGGGAATCATTTAAATAAGCCATAAACTGAGGTCATCGCCGCCAGCTTGCCGGCGACGTGAACAGTGACCTTGTCTCTGTGGGTTTTATCATTTTTGTCCGAATGTCGGACTCCTCAAAGAACAGCTGTTTATTCAAATGCAACTATTGGTTTTACAGCTGAAAAATAAAAAAAAATTGAAGAAAGATCTTTTGAAGTTGTATAATATCTAAAAGTCCTGTTTACAGGCTATTTTGTCCAAAGCAGTCGCCTTTGTCCATTGATGCCTTTTTTAATGATGGTGATACTCTTCAACCACTTCTGAATATTTATTCTAAAGCATACAGCCGTCAATTGTATTTGAACTCCCTTAAAGTGAATTTGTGTTTTATAATGACTTAACTGGATGCATTAAATGCCACCGTGAGATCACATTTAGAGCCAGTTAAGGCTGACATCAATTACCTGGCGTAGGTCTGGAGCCTTTGCTCTGTCTCTGCTGAGAAAAGAGTGTTTTGCTCTTGAGCTCAGTCAACCTTCCACGGTTAATAAAGGTTAAACAATCAACCTTGACCAGTAAGTGATTTGCCTTTGGCTCATTTGAAGGTTTTGGTCTTTACGCCGTTACACCCTCTACTGTTCAAGGACCACAGCACACGTATGTGTGACCTTTGCTGACACGTACACACCGTTTGCATAACAACCTGGTTAAAACCCTGCAGACTCTTCTCTGGTGCTCTTACAAAATGACATCTTGAGGCATTAAGAGACGACCAAAAGTTCCCCCGAAAAAAGGTAAATATATTATATTGAGTAAAGATGTGCCTAAAGACATTTGTGTCCATTTGTGAGACATTTGTGTCCATTTGTGAGACTGTAAGGTGTCTTTTTAATCGCGTGCTGTGCCACTAGTTTTTTCAACAGTGTTTGATGTAGTTGCATCTGTGTTGGAGATTGTCACCAAATAGAGCCCCCCCCCCCCCCCAAGCGTGTTGAGAACTACGTTGGCCTTCGGGTATCGTCTGCTCTTGTTTTCAGAACCGCAACAATTATTATGTTTCATTTACGTTACGTGTCATTTAGCTGGCGCTTTTATTCAGACCCAGAATAACAAGTAACAAAGTGTAACAAATTTCTACAAGTGTAAAGTGCTATCGTGCTGTCTTGAATGCTGATAAAGTGTTTTTGGTTTGCGTCGGTAGCCGCGTAGACGTTGGGCGGTCTTGTTGTCACTGGGGGGGCTCATTCAGTGGGGATGTTGTTGCGTGTTTAGGCAGATTAATGCAGCGCGAAGTGAGCGGACAGGGACGTACGGTTTGTAGACTGGACCTCATCTGTTTGCAGCACAGTACAAATACCAGTGCTTTGAAAAGAATGAGGAAGCCACTGGTAACCAGTGCACCATATATAAGGTCATTTCTCTTATATCTCTGCGTGTGCCCACACAGCGACACATTGTGGCTGGAGACAAGTTTCAATTTGGTTTCACATTCATTTACATGCCAGTGCTTGTAAATTGCACATGCAGTACCAAGCGTAGTGTCCTCCAAAGCGAGCATCCTAGCCCCTGTGTGTGTGTGTGTGTGTCTGCGTGTGTGCAGTGAGAGAGCAGCGTTTCAGGTGACCGCACGCTGACTTACAGGTAGTTTGGAATATTGTCATGAGCCGCACTACTCCGGCTCTGATGCAGAGCTTGCAGGAATCAATGAATTAACCACGTTGTGGGAAGTTTACACATTGGGAGTGATTTTTGTTTTTCGTTCCCCAAAACATTCATGAAAGCAGCATTAGAACAATTCCACCAATGAAAACGTATTCTAACTTGTTTGTGTGCAAGTTGAAGTGAAAAATGGTGAATAGCATTAATGTTAGAAATAGAGACACGCTGTAAAAACAAGCTTTAAATGTCTTTGTTTGGTGTACACATTGTTTTCGGTTCTCGTGGCTGGACTTCAGGCCTCCATTCATGGATTAATCACACACACAGACGGTTGCTCATGTGCGAGCGATCACACCACCGACTGGAACAGCGCGGGTTTCGTGATCAGAGCCGACACTCGCCAGGTGACGCCTCCCGCCCTGCGGCCTACGGCACCGCAAAGGTTACTGTGCCTGTTGGCGTCAGCGTCATGGCTGCGTGTGTGACTTACCCACGGCTTTGAGGGAGGTGTACTTGTTCAGTCCCGCCGTGCTGTGGTTCCTGTGTGGGTGGGGGAGCCCTTGTCCAAACGGCCCGTAAGCCGAGTTACTCATCTGGTACTGTTCTGGTAGGAGAAAGGGAGACACAGGCATTGTGAGTTGTTGTTCTTTTTGGAATACTACAGAAGTCCAGAGTGCGTCGTGTTTCTTTCCCCCCCCCATCACAACCACAACGTCCCTCGGTCTTTTAAAGATGTCCGTAGATGGTTGTCAGCTCAGTGTGTTTCAGTGTTTTCTCCCCCCGGGCTGCGGGGAGTCGGGGTGAGGAAAGAGTCCCGACCCCGACGGCCTAAACGAAGTGGGGTTAATGGACGATGGAGCGAACTAGCTGAGAGGATGCAGCCCTGACTATTAGTATTAATGAAGCCCATCGATGCAGCCAGAACACTTGATCTCAGCCTGAGGGATGGATGAGCACACACACACACACGTGTGTGTGTCTGTTTCAGTACCTGACAATTTGTCATGTCAGGTCTATTTGCATGTGCACGTGTGTGCATGTGTTTTGTGAGTCACGTGGGATTTAGATGTGTGAGGGAGTAAGAAGAAGGCAGAGGGGTGGAGAAATGTCAAGGGTTAGTCTGTACAGTAACGACATTAGTGCACATACATTTTACACACACACACACACACACGCACACATACATCCAAACAATCCGTGTGTGCGCATGTGTGTGTGCAGGAAAATCCTCCGGTGTAATTCAGCTGGTGCCGACCTCTCAGCATGTGCCAGATTAGCGGTTTATGAGGAAAAGGTCCATGTTACAGTTTTTTTAGATTGCTAAACGACAGCGGGCACAACCAGAGTCACATGTGCAAAACTCTAACTGCAGTCTGCACAGCAGCAGTTCATGTGGACCGAACTCTCGTTCGTTTTTCCTTTCATTTTATATTACAGCATATATAGGTGGAGCTCAGAAAGACTCATTCTGGAAATGGAACAAGGAAGACGGCTTGGTGGAGGGAGACAACGAAGACAAGGAGCTGTTATTTCAGATGAAATAAGGGCTTCACTTATAGACCATGTGGTGAACCACGTCTCTCACTGAGAGAGTTGAGGGTGAAACCCAATCTGCAAACATCCACAGTGGCATCTGTGATGCATGTTTTCCATCATACAAACAGGTGAGAGGAGTTTTTCTCTGCCTGGAGGGGGAAAGTGTTCGGTCACCACCCACATGACCAAATGTCTCTTTTGGAAGCCGGATGTGAGGACACGAGGAGGACTCGTGAGGACTGCCAGGGATGGATAAGGCTTCCAGAAGGTTCTTCCCCAGGTTCATGGAGAGAGAACATTAGATGTGATGGTGATGAAAACCTGTGGCCTGATGCTAGAGAGGCAGGATCAGCCCCTCTGTTATTTGTTTGAATTACAGTCTGTACTTTTAGTTTCTACCTTTTTTTCTCATCACTGTAATTCCGTAATTCCGACTATTTGAAGCAAACTGATAATTTTCATTTACCTTAAAGAATTGTTATGTTCTAAAAATTTCCATAAATCATGTGAAAGAATGTCACTCTTTTCTTTGAAGAAAATCTTACTTTGTATGAAGTCACCGAAATGGTTCAAAGTGTAAAGATGAACAGTTAGTATTTTGTGTGTTGGTGTTTTTACTCTCAGTGTGTTCTGAGTGACAGTGTGTGTTCTCTCACTGAGGCTTGTGCACGTGTTTGCTGCACTGAGCCGGTTTTGAGCCGTGTATTAAAAGTTGTGTTGCTTGGAGTGAGTTTTGCAGGTGATGTGAACTGTTTAGCTCAGGTGACTGTTGGACTGGAGTTAAGAGTTTTGCACATCGTCGTTTAGCAATCGAAAAAAACTGTAAGAAGAGTTCCAGTTTATAGAAGTTCTTGAAGCATTTTTTGATGTAATGCATTCCTTTCTCTGTGCATCATCTGCCTGCTGTGGGCTCTGCATGTTTTTCTTTACATGTTACGTATTTTGTGTGTGAACGTGCATCTTAGTAACGATACACAAAGGCAGCCTTAAAGCGCTGTGGGCCAGTGACAAAGGAGAGAGTGCATTGCATCTGTCATCGCCGAGATGAACGCCGAGCGTCTCCCCCCCGGCCCCCCGGTGTGTCGCGAAGTGCACAGAATAAAGCTAGAAAGCAACAGCGTGTCCTTCATCCGTGAGACGGCTCGTGTGTGTGTGTCTGTGAGCATCAACGGCGGAGTCACAGCAGACACACACAATCCTCTCCCACCCGTACGCGCCGCGTAACCCTCGCTCGCCTTCTGATCTGCTGAGCCGGTCACACACATGCTTTTAGTCCGAACAATGGACGTGATGCAAAGACTCTAGCAGAGATGATTGGTGATTGAATAAGTCGTAACTCGTCTCTCGCAATCCCCCCCCGAAGAGTTGAGAGTGCAGGATGTTTTGTTTTTGGGATCTTCTGACCTCCAAAACACACAGTATAAGACAAAAGAGACGGGGACATTTGGGAGGAGGGTTTTGTTACTGGGTAACCTCGGTTAAAACTACAGGAGCAGCCTCAAAATGGTCATTTTCACCAAGCGATCCAGGCGCTGTCTCTTATGGCTGCTGATTTAAACCTTTCTTTGTCATCTCGATTCAATCTAAAGCTACAACGTCCGGCTTTAAAGGGACGCACAGCCACAGCGATGATGGCAGTCGGCCTTTTAACACTCGCCTCCAACCATTTCAAATGTGTTTAATTACTCTGTGTGAAGAGCATTACTTTTTCCACCTTGTCCAGTATGGAAAAACCAATACTGTTCATCAGTTTCCTGCCCAGGCAATCCATCTCCTGCTCCGCTTTGTCCCGTGGGACAATCAGGGAACATTTTGCATTACATTCTGTATCTGCATGATGCATCTAAGACAAATGAAGCAAAAACTATTCATGCAACTCTAGTTGTTCCGGTGGGAGGTGATTCGTGATGCACCGTCATGTCAACCGTCAAATGTTGACCGTCTTCTGTGACCAAATACAATACAACACGTTATTTTATGTCACAAAGCAGCCCACTGTTTTTCTGCATTGTAAGAGGCCACAGGGTTTATGTGCACGGATGATGGACTCACCGACACCAATAGGTGTCATCACTGATGTCTCTGCCACGTCCGCGGCCTTTCACTAAACTGCCGGCTCACACTAGGAAGTGGAGTCACTTGTGTCGCATGCCAACATTTACCCATTTTCTGCCACACGTTGGCTCCATTTCAAGATTCCTCCATGTGCTTGATAAATATGCAGCGGATTTAGGGTGTGTGGCCCAGCAGAGGCTGCTAGACGGAAACGTAAATCCCCGAGCAGTCGGTGGTGCCAGCACACTGTTAAAATATCACTTAAGCCGTTTTGAGGGCAGCAGCAGGAGGAACAGCTGGAGTGAGCTCAGGGAAAGAAGTGAGAAAGGGAGGATGAAGAAAACCTGCCGGGACGTAAAGGTCACTGCAAAGCCAACAAGCAGCAGCTTTTTGCAAAAGTTACAGTAATTTAATCTGTATTTATTAGAGTTACAATTTTTCAAATCAGTAATGAGTTGGCTTCAACCTCTTTATTATCACATGCACAACATTAAAAAGCAATTTCAGGTAAACCGAATGTAAACAGGAATGTAGATATATGTGCTGCACATGTGTTCATACGATTCACCGCTGTGAAATCTACGATTGAGTCGAAGAACTAATGTTGATTTACTTTTGAGATCAACCATATTCATTCAACTCTCATTCAGCTCAAAGCAGCAACTTCGTGATGTGTGTGTGTGTGTGTGTGTGCTGTCTCTCAGAACTCACCACTCCTACTGCGCAGCATCCTGCCCGAGGTGCCGTTGGCACGCTCTCCGTTGGGCGAACCGGCCGCCGTGTTTTCCACCGAGCTCACCTCAGCTCCCTGCTGCTTCAGCAGGTCCGTCAGAGTCCTGGAGAACAACACACGCGCACGCACACACACACACACACACACACTGACTGTAAATGATTGTTGTCAGAGCCCTGATGACTCGCACAAAAGGGAGGAAGATGAATGCGTGTTGATGTTGGTGGCGATGCGCAGCTTGATTCTAGGACATCTGGGATCCAGATGTGTTTAGTTGGTCCCCTGACAGAAATGCACACACACACGCACACACACACACACACACACTGTTAACACTGGATTCAACCATTACATTCCGGGGACCATCCTCTCATCCCCAGGGAGAGTATTGGCCGCCCGCGTCTGAATGTGTGTGTGTGTTTGTTGTGCGGATATCCATGAAGTGTGAACACAGGTGTCTGTGTGATAGGGTTTGAGGTAGATTCTGTCATTAGAGATTCACGACACCAGCACATTCGGGGGGGGGGGGATTCTTTTGGGGAACTGATCAAACATGCGTGTGTGACTCCGGTGGAAGCTTGTTTTATAGAGCAAAGGCCACATGACTGTTTGCGTCTTTAAAGAAGTACCTTAATGTCCAGTTTACCCATTAAAAGTAGCAATTAGAAGCTCAGTGTAAAAAAGAAGAGAAATCACGATGATCACCAGTGTGAGACCGCGTGAAACGTGAAACAAGCACTTATCAAGAGTGAGGGCCGCATATAATGTAAAAGGCAAACACTCGTGCCAAGACTAAGTACTACATGATGTAAAATGAGTGGTAACTCAGCCTGTATCAGTTCATTAGCGCAGACTACTCACTGCACTCTGTGGCCCTTCGGACCCCCGGTGGCCCCTCGCGTACCTTTTCCCTGTCTGATCCAACGTCAATCAGGTGCAGTACCGTTTTCAGCCACAACAGCGTGCTGGTGGCGCTCTTTCTACATAGACGGATACATGGAGACTTGGACAGACTATAATGAATCCCCTGTGAGGGGACACAAATAAGATGGTTAAACTCTGGTTCTCTCTGCCCTGCTGCTGCGATGTTCATGTCAGTGTGGAGCTGCAGCGCGTGGGAATATAACAAAACAGGAACAAAGACATGCAGGGAGGGGTGGGCGGCGCCCCCCTGTTATAATGGCGGGGGAAACACTGCTGCTGTCGACAGCCTTTTGATCTCTTACTTACTTTGCATTTGTCGTCTTTTGCTCTACAGTGCTGGACAGTCCATCAATTTACATCAAGCAATTAACCTTTTCTAGCTGTCTAGCTGTCGAATGGGAACGGGGTGAAACAGCCGCCTTTATTTTGATACCATTTGTTTTGTGTGTGACCTTCAACTATAGTGTTTATTTCCACCATCACATTCACTATTTAACATTATGGATTACTGGGTTTAGTTTTGTCAGTTTGTGCTCGCTGGGATTCATTTCCAAGTGAAAATGGCTCATCTTGAAGCAGCGTTTGTGTGTGTCAGTGTGTACGTGCGTTTATATCTGTGTGTCCTTCAAGAGAAATTGCAGTCAGCTGTGTTTGACTGGCGGCCTTTCAGCTGAGCGACATACGGGCAAGATTTCCTGCAATATGTTCATGTTTGGACTTGGGGCTTGTTGCAAGAAATGCAAAAGAGTGACAGCTTCTCGTACACACACACACACACACACACACACACACACACACACACACACACACACACACACAGGCGCACACGTCACTATGAATAAACACATTTCTGCTCCCTGTGCATTCTCTGAATTTAGTTTTGATGGTATTCACTCCCTTGATCAATAATTCAGACACTAACGAAGCTCATGGCTATCCTTCCCCCCCCCCCCCACACACACACTCACACGGATATGTACAGGTGCACTAAACACATTCGACCCCCACTGTGACCGACCTGACAGCGACAGCCAGGGGCTGTTTGTTCACACCCAACCTGCCAAGCAGAGGAGTGAGTCCCGCGGCCTCTCTGATCATCCACAAAGTGTTTGTGTGTCACAGAAAGTCGCCTCCGGGGAATTTGGTGATGGCGTGAAGCCGTTTCCGTGTCAGATATCATAAACGTGCTTGTTTTATCAGCCAAAGTTATTTTGACAAGTGGTTTCTGCTTGTGTTTGTGTCCTTGAGCTTTAGTAGTTGAATCAATCCCCTTTTTAAAATGAATGGTGTATTTATGGACATGCTTTCCTCTCTCTCCTCTATGACTTACGCTCTATTTATGGAAAGGTATTTTGTGACAGAATAATTCTATTCATTCATTCAAATGGATGCAGATCTTAATCATCTTAACGTGGGTCCTTTCATACGCACGGTGCCGACGTCTGCTCGCGTTAGATTATGACGTCAGTTCGTCCCGTTCTAAACAAAAAGCTCTTCCCTGTGGTTTGATCAAAATCACATTTTCTTCAGTTGTCTTCTCTCCTCGTGCCCCCTCCCTTCCCTTAACGCAGCCCTAGTTGCCCCCCCCCTTCCCTTCTTCAAACCGCATTGTTCTTCTTCCTCTGCTCCTCATCCCCTCCGTGACGCATTGGTGAGCGCGGCCTCGGGCCTCCACGCTCTCTTCTCGCCGCTTAAACTACTTGCTGATTTGGACTTTTAATCTGCAGCGAATAAACGCCCCCCCACCCCCGTCTCCGGCCCGCGTGGGGTTGACGGAGCGCTGGCTGAGCTGAGGGATGGTTTTGCCTTTGACAGAGTTGGTGGTGTGCGGCTTGTTAAAAGATGAAAACGTTCTGGGTGGGATGGATCGGCAGAACCAGCCGGTCGTGGCTTCAAGCGATGAAGCCTGAATCACTGATGTTATGAAGGAGCAGGTGCAGCTTTTGTTAATAAATTGCAGGTTTCTATTCATCGCCATGACGTCATTATCGCCATCATGTCCCTTTACCTGAAAGTGGTTTCTCTGTTTTCTTCAAAGACGTCACTTACAATACATTAGATGTGCTTGTTACCGACGTCACGTCCGTTAATCATTAATCAAATCAGTCTTCTGGTTTATGACTTCTCAGTCGCAACAATTACCAAACACCCAAATAGTTCTCATCATTCGCCGGTCTGAATCGTCTGTCATTGTTTTTCAGTGCTGGAAGCATCTTGACTACTTCACAAATAATGCAAATAGTCAAAATAAATGATCCAGCCCGTAATATGAGTCCAAGCCAAATGCAATCCCTGCGAACCATGTGAATGTCTGAAGGAACACTCGAGGTCAGAATTGAAATTTGCCGGCAGCTCTTTCTTCCTCTCTCATAATGTGCAGGTGTGATTTGGAAAATCTGAATGTATGCTGCAGTTTCTGCAAAAGCATCGATCGAAACCGATTCCTGTTTCTCTGTGACAGAAGATTCTACCTCGACTAAAATCAAATTGTAGCACTTAAATTGTACTTGTAATGGCTTTTATCTATAGCAAGTTGTAAATCAGCTTATTTGATGAAATGATTGTTGCTTGTTCTTTTGTATCTTTATGGTTGAGATGCACTTATTGTAAGTCGCTTCGGATAAAAGCGAACGTTAAATGACATGTAATGTGATGTGATGTATATTCTGTGCCGTTGGGGAAACGTTATCAACTATCTACTAGATAGAAAATCCCATGCGTAACCTTCAGGTTACTTCCCAGTTACCAAACCCATTATGCAACAGAGATGAGCCGGAGATCATCAGTACCTCCATCTTGTCTTTCCACATTACAGCCACATTGAGATGAGACTCGGCTAATGTCCTGTACCAATCCATTACTCCACCCAGATCCGCTTCATCAGACACACACTCAGTGACTCGTAACAAGCGAGATTACAGAAACTCCTCCCTCTCTCTCTGCAGACCCCATTAGGTACTCTTAAGTAACGATGTCCTGGCTGGATACACACGTCTTTTATGTACATCATCATTTCCTGTTTATGCTTTATTGCACATATTATTGATCCACTGGCTGGATGCAATTTCACAATTGTTTATCTCTACCAACAACCTGGTATAAAAATAGACATTAAGTGACAAAGAAGCTTGAATAAAAGACTCAATGACAGATAAAGCTCAAACACATAACGTCCCTCCACTGGATCTCATGCAATTCATCTGTGAATGCAAAACCTTCCCATAATCCAGTGAAAAAGGGAAACGACTGGGGGCGATGTCTCCGTGTCACAATCTCTTTGTTGCCCGTCTGTCGTCGTTGCTCTCGTGTCACTCACAGCTCCCTCTTTTCATCAAAGGTACAGTTAAAGCCAGTTTCGCTGTCGCTGTCGATTACTGATAGAGAGAGAGAAGATGACAGCTCGCCTCTTATACGAACGCACACACACACACACACACACACACACACGCGCACACACAACGTTTTGGGTTTCTCAGGCGGGTCGGATGCTTCTGCTTTTAGATGCCATGTGGTGTATTTTAGGTGCAATCATTTTCTCAAAAGTAATACTGCAAAATCAACACAACACCTAAAAGGAGAAGAGACATGATTTAGAGCCTGCTGTTGAATCAAGAGTACACTTAAACAAATGTTCTTCAATAAACTTTATATCCTAAGCGAAATGGAGACATTTAGGTTGTTTGTCAGTTTGGAAGAAGCCTACATAGTTACTGTGGATGTGTTTAAGCTCTGAGATGCAGACACAGTCTGGACGGTTGTTTTATTCTAACAGAGCTGACACGTTTTTACTTGCTCTTATATTGTATATATCATGTCCTACTTATTCTTATTGTTGTTTTATATACTACTTATAACTGTTGTTGTGCCGCTGAAACATCTGAAATCTAAACTCATCTAATTATATTTGTATCTTATTTTAACAAGGCTTTCCCTCAAAGGAACAGTGTGTAGCCTTTAGTGGGCTGTTTGGACAGAAATGATTTGATTAGATTTGATTCCATGCTGACAAGCAGCTTGTAATTTCCCCTGAATGTTTGGATTTGCTTCTTTTTTTTGTAGCTACATTTTAAACATGCGACAACAACTTGTCGCCTTCCCCTCTGGCCCAACTTGGAAATGGAAGAAATACAGTTTTGTGCTCAGTAAAGCTTTCAAGTCGCTTAATTATCTGCCTCTTGTTTTTTGGCGGGTTCCATGTCTTTTTGAAGCTGTAGGTTAAATCAGCTGTTTCACACAGCCTCCTAAATTACCACCTCGAGGTACGTCGGGAAAAGACGCTGCTCGTCCTCCAAACTTTTGCTTCACCCTGAGAAACAGACGCACGGAGGCCGCGTGGAGCCGAACCCTGGCGGCGGCGCGCACTGACCCACATTCCGGTCGAGCCCGCAGCTGAGCAAGAGGAGCAAAGAGGAGCAAAGAGGAAGGTAAGACGGCCACAAGGGGGGGGGGGAATTGTCAGATCCAATAGAGCCAGGGAGCTGTCAACTTATGCGTCCTTTCACTTTGGGAGGAATCGTGGCGCGTGGTGACGCAGGCGCATACGTGTGCACACTTTCGTTGAATTGAAGAGCAAGAACGCGTGCATGCAAGCGTGCTCACACACACACACACACACACACACACACACACACACACACACACACACGCACACACACACACGCACACACGCGCACACACAGACGGAGGTGACAGGTGAGTGACAGCTCGACCCTGCAGGTGATCACATGCAGGAGCGACGGAGGAGCTGAGAGAGTCGAGCGGAGGAGACTTTGAGGAAACTTCTTCCATGGCAGATATTTAAGGCTCAGACGGGTTTTATTCGCTACCTCCCTGGAGTGCCCCCCCCCCCCCCCTCCCCAAAAACAGAGGGAGTCTCATTGAAGCTGGAGACAACAATAGACTGGAAGAGTCCAATAGGCTCAGGTGTGTTGATGCCTCCGAATGGATCCTGGAAATGAATTCTCCAACATAAAATCCAATGCAAATTCAAATTAATTTAGGTATTATTCTGTAAGAAAGCGCACTTTGTGAAACTGTATTGGTTGAGTTGTCAATCCGACGTCACGCTCGAGCCGTCAGATGCCGTCAAAGGGCCGCCGGCGTGTTACAATGAAGTATCGGCTCTTCAACGATCTCACGTGTCAGACCCGGTCACAGCAGCTGATGTGAAGGGTGAGATGTTCCTCACAGGAGGGCCGCTGCATTCCTCAACAGCACCACGCTGCTTCAGAGCCAAAAGGGAACTGCACCATCTGACTCATTGAGTTGTTAATCAGTCGGTGGAGACCAGAGTCCTACACGTCTTCTCCTATGAGCCCACTTCCTGTGAAGACGGACGTTTATGTTGAAAAGACACTGGTCATGTAGGGAACCACGACAAAAAGTAATAATAACACGTGTAATTAACCATGTATTAATGCTATGCAGTAGAAAGCCGTTAATAGAGAAAATCCTTCTGCCCGTCATGTATCATCTTCTAGCGTGTCTTGCTTTGTTTTTATGTTTTTGTCTAGCTCTTATTTATTGAGGTGTTATTCAGACCATCCCGACATTTATTAACACGTCTTTAACCAGAAGCACTGTGTATCACTGCAGATCTGATCTGTCTAAATCAAAACTCATGACCCTTTATAAACGAGTGAATGGCCTTCTCATAAATCATCAGGTCTGCAGTTATTATAAAGTGTAGAATATTTCTGAATGTGGCTCTGTTTATGTGATGGTGTACACAAGTCATTTTACAGCACAATAGAATCGCACTAATTGCTCAACCGTCACTAACAATCGCATGTTGGCCTTGAAATATTCACCATTAAAAGCACATCCCGGTGTTACTTTACTGTGTGTTTGTCAAAGCCAGAGCGTGTAATGGAAGAGAGACGTGCGCGGCCGTGGTCCATATGATGGGCCGCGCTTTATTGAGTATTGCTTATCTGTCGGCCTTAAATCAGGGCAGAGCAGTCAAGCCCTTTAAGTGACAATGCCCTTCATTACGTAACATAATGGCTAGAAAGGGCCCTGTAATATGTACACACAAACGCACACAATGCAGATGAACTACTTTCAAATGCAGTCTCACATACAGAATTGAACGCATGCAGAATCATTGTTTTAGTGTAAAATGTATGGACGTCGTACTGATTCACTTTCAACTGATTTCATGACAAAAGTAGTTAGTGATCAAAGAAAAATTCAATTTGACTATATTTGCTCCATGTAATGTTTTAAATTCACCCTGATGAAAGCATCTGGACGGCTGCGTCACAATGGCCCCATACATACATGAACACACGCTTTCACATGAACGCACTGACGAGCCCCCATTCGCATGTGCACTCTCGCTCTCTCTCCGCCTCTCTCCCTCCGCCTCGCGCTCCGTTCGACCCACGTGACCTCGGCAGGTGCGTCCGGCCTCCTGGCTATCCGGACCCCTCCCTGTGGGGCTCTGAACCGTGCTCGTGGAAACCTAAATGCCTCTAGTATCATTCTAGTTCTTAACTGAACTATAAATCACTACAAGTGCGTGCGCGTGTTTGTGTGCTTGATCGTGAAGGTCATCTGCGTTTGTTTATTCTCTGCCGTCGCTGGTCTAGTTGAGGCCTTTCATTAGGCGGGACACCTGTGACCTGAGCTGCCTTCCCCTCGCTGCGTGAGGATCATGCAAACACAGGGAACCGGGCTCTGGTTGGGTTCATGCATTAGTAGAAGGTGTGCGTGTGGGAGGAGGGTAATCTGAGAGGAGGGTCACTTCCAATTTCAACTTTCCGAAGTGGATTTGGAAGAACTGGTGGGATTTCAGAGTGTTAATCTCCCCTCTGGAAGGAGAGGAAAGAGCAGGTGCAGGGCGGAGGTTGCTTTTTGTGCTTCCCGCTCCAAAGCGGGTGGGCCTACGTACATATTTATGCATTTTACCTCAGAAAGTGTGGGAAGTACATGAGGCCTGAGATGCACATGTGCTTTTGGACCGGAGATTAATGTCAGCGGGCTAATAAGTAAATGAGCCTGCAGGCAGAGCAGTCCAGAGATGGTAAAGCTGTAATCTTGGTGAAATTCGTTCAATCGCGGGGAGGGGAAGGTAATCTGTGGAGACGGGCTCGAGGAGGGAGTGTGTTTATGCAGCCGGAGTGTTTCTATTCCAGCGAGGTGCCACCCGGCAGGAAATACTAATCCTGGCTGCGTGTGATCCACCCAATGAGTTTTGTGGCTCAGGTTAACGTGAGACGCTCGGGCGGCGATGGTGGCCGACGGACGCTCAGCGGGCGCGGCTGCCTGCGTTGTCTCATTTAGAATGAGACGCCACTTAAATAACAAGTGAACGTATGGGGGTGGAAGTGGGGGAGGTAGAGATGACAGAGGTGTTTGACTGACAGGAGAGGAGGGAGAGGCCCTGCGGGGTGAGGGGGAGGAAGAGGAGGGAGAGGAGTGAATGCAAATTGTGATTGGTTGAAGCTGACCCCGACATCGGCGCGTTGGGAGAGAGAAAGAGATGAAAGGAGGCTGCAGTAGAGGAACAGCAGAAACCGTGGATGGCAGCTGGAGAACGGGACGCAGGGCGAAGGTCAGCAAGGACTTCCGTCCAAGCTCAGGGTGAGAGGAACGAACCGCACGAGATGAACGGAGACGAAGGAAGGCGAGATCAGAAACAAGGATCTGGGGGAAATGAGACGCAGCTGAGTGGGCTGCGTAGGGATGGAAGCGCATGCTGCGCGCTGTTAGCTGTAATGATTTCCTGAGGCAAACAGATTGAACCCTCGACCAAGTATTTAGCCCAACTACAGTTGGTTAGTGTGTGTGTGTTTGTGTGTGTGTGTGTGTGTGTGTGTGCGTGTGTGTGTGTGTGTGTGTGTGTGCGTGTGTGTGTGTGTGTGTGCTCCAATGTGTTTCAAACTGAAGGAATAAACTGTAAGTGATAAATAACTGCTTTACACAAGGTTGATTCTTCATTTTTCAGCCAATTGAGACAAAATGTAATGACAGGTCCTTATTTAAGAAGGGATTCACTCCAAAATCTTACACATGTGAGGCAAATTAAAAGAAGAACCTGAAAGGCTTGTTGCATTTACACCTACCGAACACTTAACAATGCAAAAATGGTTTGGTCCGTGTGTTTTTTGTTTATTTATAATAAATAAATTAAATTGAATTAATAATAAATTAATAAATTAAAGTCATGCGAATAAGCGAATGGTACACGAGGAGTAAGATACAAATATGAAAAATGGAAAGTATGAGAATAAAAGAAACAGGCACCAAAAAAAAGATGAAATCCAAAATTAGAGACATAAAAACATCATAACAAAATCAAACAACATAAGAAAAAGCAAGATAAGATTGTGATACTTGCAGTCTGCGTACAGACACCAAACAGGTGGTTTCATTCACAAAACAATTTCATATCCACTATAAATTTGACAAACTTCGCAGTCAACCATGACAAAGTGAGCTTCATACTGTGAGCTGTGTTTGTTAGAAAAGGGATCGGTTTGTACACGTGCAAGCAAACACATGCACACATGTCAGCACAAGTCAACACAAAGCTTCAAGTTAAAAAATGTTCCTGTACGTATATTACAATTTTCTGTCTAATTTTTGCCGGGTGGAGTCAGAATTTCCAACTTTCCAACATACCAAAAATGCATCAAAAGACACACGCACAAATGCAATTTCAGTCACACACACACACACACACACACACACACACACACACACACACACACACACACACACACACACACAACCATCCGCTTAAATCTCTGTAACATATGTTGACAGACAGATTGACACAGCGACACAGCTTCCTGCCACTCACCTGGAGTTGATGTCCGATGGCCCCGCCCCCATTCCTCCTCCACTTCCTCCACGGCTCTTCTCCAGGCCCAGTTTGGTGAAGATGCCCACCAGCACCATGATGGCCACCACGCCGCAGATGATGTAGACAATGAGGTGCGTGCGGTCGCGGTCCTGGTCCTCCTGGCCCTCGTTGATGGCGGCCACGGGCTTGCCGGTGTTGGCCCAGATGGGCGTGTCGTAGTTGGAGCAGATGTTCTGGTCCAGCCGCTGCTTCCGGAACCCGCAGCAGAAGCGGTAGAAGCAGGTGCCGCAGCAGTACAGAAAGACGCCGGCGTTACAGTTGAACGGCGGGTCCCATTGGCCCATCACGTCGTAGTAACCCTGGCAACGAGTCCCGCCGGAGGGAAGCACGTCCTCGTCGTCTGCGTCCCCTCCGCTGCTGGGAGTGGACAGGCCCGTCTCCACGGGAGAGTTCTGGGTGGTCTCCACGTAGCTTGGAGTCGTCTGGTTGGCCTGCGTTGTGGGGACGATTAACGAGTCTCCTCCGGTTACCGTCACCGTGGTGACGGACGGGTCCTGGGTGAGGGCAGGACGAGTAATAATGAAGGAGAGGAGGAAGAAGAGGAGAAGGTGGCGGGAGGAAGGGTTGGTGTCCGCCATGTTGCTGAGAGCCCTACTGTCCCAACGTCTCGCCTGCACGTGCTGGACGGGAAACTAAGACATTTTGAGAGAAAATCAAATCAAATCAAATCCAGATGTACTTATTTTACCATGAAATAAGTGTAATGAGTCATTTTTTTTGTTTTGCAGATGCAAATAAAAGAAAATGGATTTACAGCATTGATTTGAACCAAAATCATTAACAAATGTTGTTTCTATTGAGCTCATTGAGTCGATAATGAAAAGAGGGTAGAGGATGTTCTAAACAGGTCAGTGGGAGTCTCTATCGTGGAGTGTTACCATAAAGTAACACACAACCTTTTACATCTGAAAGGGAATCTCATTGCAAATAAGATGTTCAGAATCAACTCTCAAAAGGATGAAGTAGACTATTCATCATCAAATCATAGAAAAGTAAGCATAAACAAATAGCTCAACATGCTTTTACCTTCAATAGGATCAGTGAATGCGTTCTCACTGCTCCCTCCTCACAACCTGCACACAGACGGCCGTCCTCTGCAGCTCTTCCCCAAAGTTCAAGGGTCCCTCTAGAAATATCCACAAACTTTACTCAGCAGCATTTTCCCCCCAACGCTTGCTCGCGTGTTCTCCATCGTCTGTTGGGGTCTCGATCCGAGGAATCCAGCCGACACAAGATGACGCGCTCCTCCTCTCCCTCCTGTTCTTCTTCACTGCTTTATCAACCACTGCTCAGTCTGAGCAGGCAGACGTCCAGACTGGTCCAGAGACTCCCGTGAGCTGTGTGAGCCTGTGTGAGTTTGTGTGTGTGTCTGTGTGTGTGTGGCTGCACTGATCGCTGCAACAGTTCAGGAACCAAATGAGATCTCCTCCTCTGTTTACCTCTAACCAGCGCCAGATAGGCAGAACGAGTGAGAGAGAGTGTGTGATGATGGGAAAGAGCGAGAGAGAGAGAGAGTGTGCGGAGGGGGAGGGAGGGGGAGGGGGGGGGGGGGGTATTTCCCGCTGCATCTCCCATCATCCCCGGAGGAAAGAAAAAACGGGGATGGGTGAAATGAAGAGAGTGAGTAAGATGAATATGGACTCTAACTAGTGATTAGTGACAAAAAATAATTCCGCCACAGTTTGTATGTTTATGTGTGTGTGTGTGTGTGTGTGTTGTGTGTGTTGTGTGATCCCAGCCTGTGTTGTGGGACATCGATCTAATAACATAGTTTTGTTGTGGGGACTGTCCTTCCTTATGGGAAACAAAATGCAATCAATTTAAGGGTTGAGGTTAAGCCGGTTATAAGGAAATAAATGTAAGTCAATGTAATGTCCCTAAAAGTCATAAAAGCATGGCTGTGTGTGTGTGTGTGTGTGCGTGTGTGTGTGTGTCCTGTACCTGGAATGTGGACGGTCAACAGCTGCTGCGGTGCCTCCTGCTCATCCTCTACTCATTGCTCTCCCCGTTTCCTCTCTCCCTCCACCACAAACACACAAACAGACACACACGGCACGAGCATCACCAACCCTCACCCCCCCGTCGCTCTGCCCCCAGCCCCCCCCCGTCCCCGTCCCCCACCGCTCACTTCCACACCATCCTTTCTTCTCCCGCGTGTCTTTCCCACCCTCCCCTTGTGCCTTCAGCTTTGATAACACACGTGTTAGCAGATTTCTGTTTTGCGAATGGGCACGTATGTGAGTGTGTGTGTGAGTGTGTGTGCGTGCGTGAGTATGTGTATGTGTGTGTGTGTGTGTCAGAAGGATTCCAGAGTCACCGAGGTCCGGCGCCAGCTTTACCACCTCCTTTTGTTTAAACCTCAACCTGCACAGGTGATGCCAAAACCACACACAGACACACAAATCTGATCATGTGTGCATGGGCAAAACTGCAGATAAACACCTGCTAGTTTGGGCAAGAACCCCCGTGTCCCTCCCACCCACACACACGCACCGACAGATGCCACGGCTGAGGCCAATTTGAGGGCTTTTCTCAAAGTAAACTACCACATGTACAATTTTTTATGGAATTATAAGCCAGATTGACAAGGGCCTCTTTGTTTTTCTTTCCGCTAATCGCCTCCCCCCAAATCCCCTCCTTTATGTCTCGTCTTTCCGGACTCAACATTTCCTCCACTTTCCTCTGATTTTCACTCCATTGCGTGAAAAGAGAGGCAGGGCGAGGGAGAGTGTAACGGAGGGAATGAAAAGAAGAGTGTAAATGTAGGGCAGTGGGGAAGAGACCCAACAAGAAAAGAAGCAAAGAAAGGAAGGAAGGAAGGAAGTGGGGGAGGGAGAGGTGGAACAGTGGGTGAGAAACCACTGGCCGAGGACCAAAGATGAGAGAGGACCACTCGCTGATGGAAATAGAGAGAGAGAGAGGGAGAGAAACGGGTCTAGAGGAAGTGGGAGGGAGAGAGAGACTTTGAGGAGCAGAGGGGTGACAGGTACAGAAGGGCGAGATCAGAAGGAAGTTGACATGTGCGTAAAGGGGATGAAGCGGATGGAAAGTGATGGAATACTGGTTATTTCTGTGTTTACCATTTTCTGCTGATGTGGCTCTTTTCTGATGTGGGATGCTGAACGTAAATACAGTTAGAACCACACAGATGTATGTTACGTAAGGAGGAGCAGCGAGTATTAAAACAGGAAACCATTCCCCGCCGACAGCAGCTGCAAGAGGATATTTAGGTCCTAAATATAATTTCCGTCATCCTTTAATTCAAATTTCCAACTTCCTTCAGCTATTTAAAGTGTGAAAATGTGAACGGTAGTATGGCAGAATGCATGTCCTTGTACATCCTATCAGCCATCAGAATCTCCTTCTTTGGCCACATAATTAGAAGAAAAAACGATTGGGCTACCTTTTTAATCTAAATGGGTGTATGAATCAATTAGTCAACTCTGCACTGCACACGCCTGTTGATCAACAATTAATGTTCATCTTGAACTAGATTCTGCAAGAGCCTGCAGGTCTGACTCACTAGCAGCGTTGCGCCTTCATTAGGAGACACTTTGAATATCCCAAACCTGTGCAATATTTTAGTTGCTTTTTTTTATAGCATCTATAAATATTCATACTTTGGCTTTGTGTGCTTCCAATGACAAGTGGCAAAAATCGTAATCCTGAAACACACGTTCACTTCAGCGGGCTTCACAGCTTGTGGTTCCAAACGGTGGAAGAGTTGAGCTGCTTCACTTTTACTTAGATTTTCAGTTTCTAAATTGCTGCTGTTGAACTCTGGGCTGTACGGTGTGTAGGTGTGTGTGTGTGTGTGTGTGTGTGTGTAGTAGAAGGGTGTGTGCGTAGGCGAGCTAGTAGAAGCTTGAAGCCCTGATCAGAGGACCCTTACTAAGTCGATCCGGGCGAAGCTTTGAAGCAGCTTCAGTCTCAGTAAGCATTCCTTAGAAATTATATGTATTCATATATTTTATGTCAGCATATTACAAATATAATATCATCTAGAGTGTTTAGAGGAAAGAGTCTGGTACGCCAAAGATGCTGGTAGTGAAAACTTTGTTTCACCTGCAGTCGAACCAAAGTGTGCGCGAGTTCCTCTCAGGCAGACATTGGCATTTCTTTTTTACTGCACGAGTGATCATTGTGCATTCAGACATTTACAGGTGACTAACATGGCCGGGAGCCAACGTATGTGTGTGTGTGTGTGTGTGTGTGTGCACCAACGGTGCATGAAAACCAAAGGTTATGTTGAGAGTTTGTGCCAATGGATCGACGTCCTCCTCTTAACAAAGCTGCTGTTCTATTTGTCCGTAACGTCCAATAGGTTTCACTATTGTAGAGGCAGAGGGGTTAGGAATGTGTAACATACTGCACAGCCGACAACAGACACACACAGACATGGTCCCATCCATGTCTCCTGAGAGACGTACCTCAGCTGGTCCGACGGGTTTCAGGGCTTCAGATCAAGCGGTTATAAGGTGAGCTCCTCCGGGACGAACAGACTGGCTGCACCATTTGATCAAGAAGACAATGGAGCACAAACATCAGCTCCTCAATCTCTGCTTATTGAGCGTAACGTATCGCAATGCATGGTGGCAGGTGCTTCAGATGTGTGTCTGTGTGTGTGTCAACAGACGACAGAGCGCTTGTCCTTTACTGTAATGTGTTCAGAAGAATGATGGAATTCCATGAATGAAAATGAAAATTGTAAACAAATGCAACCGTAGTGGAGACTTGCTTGCACGTGTGAAAACAACATTTCCAATAATCTCTGCCGACTGTAGGAGATTTATTCTCTCATTTAACCGTAATCATTAAACTATGGTCTCCTGAAGCTCAGCAAGCGTTAACATGTAAAAACCATGGACAGAAAGCGGGAGGAGCTGTAAACACTTCATCGGGCTCATTTCACTGCTCAGTCAAACTGCAGAATGAGTCTTCTGATATAACCTAGTTAGATAAAGCCTTTACTCAAGCAAGTGTCCATTGATGAATACCAATTACAGGCGTCTATTCGGGCAATGCTTGTGTGTGTGTGTGTGTGTGTGTCCGTGTTCTATTATTAGTTCAGGTCTCAATGGACCACATCCTAATATAAAGCCTTTATACTCCTGGGAGGCGGAAAAATGTAATTACAAATTAAAATCCCCGGATGAGGCATTGTGTGGCAGGTTGTGTATGTCGGTCAACTTGCCGTGATGTTTGGGCCGCCGTGTGCGCGCCTGCATTCACGCGCAAACACACACTCGCAGTAGCTGGATGTGTGTGTGGTGAGGTTTATCTCCCTTGCATTGGCTTAGAGTAAATGCTGGATTTTGAGTCATCGGCTGTCAACCCTCCCTCTCGTTATCTCCTCACACAGTTTATGTGTTTAGCGTGACAGAGCTAATGAGCGAGTCTGATGCTTCTGATGCTGCAGGACTGAACCCGTTTGACTCGCTATCCACGCACAACAACACGCGGGAGAGGATCTGACAGACTGACGCAGAGGCATTTAGAGCTCCACATGTTTTGGACCAGAGTGGATGTGCTGACTTCACAACACTCCTTGAAGTGACGGGCTTTTAGTTGTTGATATGAGATGTGACGCAGGGAAATGTTTGCTCTGGTTCCACGTAGTTTGCCTGCAGAATAATTTAAATCTCTCCCTGTGTTTGTTCCCTCATGCATTAACATAGCAGAGAACATGTGAGGTCATGCGTTGGCTGCAGCTTTAATGAGGGAAGCTGAAGTGAGACATTGCACCAAAACAGGAAGTTGTTCATGAGTAAGAAAAGTACAAAATGCCACCTACAGTGTGTAACAAGATGACTCCAGCATGACCTTTACGTTAAGGGAATTGTCCATGTTGATCACTGAATGGTTTCTATGTCCCTCACTTGTCAGGCACAGCGAGCACAATGGCTTCATGTCATCTATAAAACAACCCGTGATATTGGTGGGTTACAAAGATTAGGATCATCTTCATTTACAGAAAAGCAGTTCAAATGTTTGTTTGTCCAATTTGGTTTTAACCATATGAAGAACGCATGGAAAACGAACCTGCATGGATGTCGATGTTAGTCAGTTCTTTGCCTTAACTATCATTATACTTCATTCATAACCCCAGTACTGTGGGTTAAGTGGGTAAGTGTTCTTTAAAGCGTATCAAGAATCAACACAATTGTTTCCTGAACTGCACACGCTAAGTGACACAGATATCTATTTTTCCATCATCCAGTCCAGAGTGTCCCTACATGCCCTGACAACACTGAACGCACAATAAAAAAAGGTGTTGGGTGAGACGCGGTGACGCAGAGGGACGCAGAGTCATCAGTCCGTTAGGTGAATGATTAGCGACGTTCCTCTCAGGGTTTTGGCCCGAGCGCACTCAGACAACTCGAAAAGCAAAGACAAAGAGGGCAGCAGAGCCCACGGGGCCTAAATCAGAGAGCAGGACTACCACCCACAACATGACGCAAACAAACAAACACCATTATTGTATGTGGAAACGGAAAAGCC